GACCCGACTCTGGACCTAGTGAGTTGGCGGTGAAGCGTGCAAGGCAAGAGTCATTTCGGCGCTGACCGCGCCGTGTGTCGAGTTGCCTTCAGAACCGCCCGAACACGAAGAGCACCAATACTTGTCTTTGATCCAGCGCGTCATTGAAAGCGGTGAAGCGCGCGGAGATCGAACAGGCACAGGCACTTTGGCGTTGTTTGCACCCCAGCCTTCGTTGTCGTTCTCGCTTGCAGATGGCACTCTGCCGCTTCTTACTACAAAGCGAGTCTTTATGAGGGGCATCCTCGAGGAGCTGCTGTGGTTTGTAGCTGGCAAGACGGATTCTAAAGTGAGTAGGGGGCGCGGGACACGCGCGCGCCTTGCCGAGACAGCTGCTGAGACAGACGGCTTTTTCGTGCTTCTACCACTGCGCTCAGCTGCTCACCGACAGAGGGGTGCACATTTGGGACGGCAATGGCTCGAGAGCGTTTTTAGACTCGCGCGGGTTAAAGGAGCGTAGGGAAGGCGACTTGGGCCCAGTGTACGGCTTCCAATGGAGACACTTTGGCGCCGAGTACACGCACTGCGATGACGATTACAGCGGCAAGGGCGTGGACCAGCTGGCGGAGGTGATTGACAAGATAAAGAGCAATCCAACAGATCGGAGAATCATCCTGAGTGCATGGAATCCAAAAGGTGCGTCGTGTGGAGCGGCATGCGCAAAAAAAGCCCCCCCCACGTGCTAACTCGTGCACGCAAACCCAGACCTGAGTTTGATGGCTCTACCTCCGTGCCACATGTTTTGCCAATTTTTCGTCTCGCAAAGAAGAGGGGCGGAGAAGCCTCTTTTGTCTTGCCAAATGTATCAGCGGTCTTGCGATCTGGGCTTGGGCGTGCCGTTCAACATTGCATCCTATGCATTGTTGACGCACATGATTGCTCACGTCACGGGTTGCGAGGCCGACAGGCTGACGCTGGCAATGGGCGACGCGCACGTCTACAAGGACCACGTCGAGCCTCTCAAAAGTGAGCACAGCCGGCGTGGGCGTGGGTGCGGGTGTGGG